AGGCCAACAGAAGTAGGAGCACAGCCTAACCTGGCCCAATGACGATGCTCTGATTGAGGAGCTGATTGTTGTATAGCAACCAAATCGTCAAATTCAGCTAGGGCCAAGGCTGCATCAGTACTGGAAGCATGAAAAGCAAGGACAGTAGGACCTGAGCCCGGGGCCATAAGGGCTGCCCGTTTAGCCGTGGCATCTGCCAAGGCATTCCCCATAGCAATTTCAGAAGTAGGGGACTGGTGAGCAAGGCATTTAACAATAGCAAGTTTAGAAGGCAAAGGAAGAGCTGAAAGTAGATCAGAAACATATTATCCATTCCTGATTGGAGTCCCTTGGGCTGTTGGATATCCACGGAGTTTCCATAATTGACCAAAATCATGAACAACACCAAAAGCATAACGACTGTCAGTGTAAATGGTGGCAGACTTCCCAGATGCAAAACAACAGGCCTCAGTGAGTGCTACAAGTTCTGCAATTTGGGCTGAATGGACTCCAATAAGGGGAGCACAGGTTAAGGGCTCAAAGGAAGAACAGACAGCAAAGCCCGCTACCAGCTTCCCAGAGGAATCACAGAAGCAGGAGCCATCGACAAAAGGAATGAAATCAGAATTCTGGAGGGGAACATCAAGAAGGTCTTGATGTGGCTTAGAAAGAAGCAAACAGGGAGCCTCACAGTCGTGAGGATCTCCATCAGCAGGCACAGGAAGCAAGGAAGCTTCCTTAAGGGAGGACAACGACATAAATGATCTGATCGTCATAATGTGGTTTGTGGTTTAACGGAATAAAAAGGATAGCAACCAGGTAAATGGCACCGCTTGAACAAGCTGTCAGTTTGACGGCTCGGGCAAGCAGGTCGGCATTGCATTGTGTAAGTACCTTGTATGTTGTGATTGCATTTATTTTTATGCTGCATTTTATTTTCAATAAAGCTTAAGTAGAACTTAGAACTTTGAAGTGACATGTTTTATGGTGTGTCTGCCTCCCGTGTTTAACATGGTTTTTCCCTGACAGAATGGTCACTAAATGAGGCAGTTGCTAAAAGAGGACGACCTCCAGTGACATTCTGTGGCTATTAAAACTGTTTTATCCTTCAGCCCCCCGTCCCTCCCTCAACCACCAACCTTTTATTTCCCGAAAATTATCACTGCTACTCCTGCAACCTGAGGAGTTTTCCTGGCCTTGATGTCACCTCCCACTTCTGGTGGTTTGATGGGCTACATGAAGGTTAAAGCTGCTACTTGTAGATAGCAATGACAAGCTGAGGTGACCCGAGGTGTGTGGGGGTGTCAAAAAAGTCAAGATGGCGCTGCAACTGTACCATCAAAGCCCTGCCCTTTTTGCATGCACTCCCAAAACGTACTTGTAAGGAAAAATCACCAGGCGAGTGAACAGGAATGCTACGGAGAACGTGACAAAGAGTGTGTTGCAAGTCTTCTGCCACTTCAGGTAGTTAAACATCTTTGTGGCCTGAGGAAAAAGAGAAAGAAAGAAGCAGAAATTGTTGAGCTGTTGAGGTTCC